ATTATGTAGACATCCTAGAATGCATAAAAATAATTTTTGTTCTGTTGTTTTGCTTTCTATTAGATTTCGAGTAATGAAATCGACGGTTATGTTTACGGATGTATAATGTGGATATCTCTGGTAGATGTATTGATAATCCTTGATTCCTTCCATCAAGCTATCAGGAGAAATAATAGTACTATAAATATAGTCGATAAACTTATTCGACTGTCACATGATGTGAAATTTCTTGCATATTTGCATCGAAATTTTAAGGGATTTGAAAATTCTATAATCCCATATTACTTTGGAAGAAAACTTTTGGAATTGATCAAGCAGAAAGACTTAGTTTGGGACTATGAAGGCATTATGTTACTTTATGAATTTCTTAAAAATCCTAATTTGCTATGTTTATCTGAGGATTATGTTCGCATACTCGAAGCTATAGCTGAATCCAATCAAATTATTTTATTGGAATTTTTTCCTGAGGTTATTAAATTAGACTTAGGAAATAATGTTAATAAAAAGTCTCTCGAGAAGGCGTTGACTAATTGGTTTATTAAGATTTGTAAATCTAAGAGCTTCTCCGCAACATTAGTTCGAGAAAGTTTGGCATATAATATTTTTCATTATTTTTCTATAATGCTTTCAAATCTAAAATATGGTCGGTTGATCTTGGATACATTCAAAAATCATAACATTGTGAAGAATCTATCTGATGATGATATATTTGCAATTGCATCATATGTTGATGAGTATCAACATGATGTAAAAACTCATATTATGCTTATGATGAAAAAAAGAATTAGTTCTTTTATTCATTTTGACGGATATCTCTTAAAAAAGGTCATGACAATTTGTGATAGTAAATCGAACTTAGTTGTGCAAAACAGGTAAATATGTTTCTCATACTTATATCTTTGTGTCATCTCGTATTATGTAATAAAAATAAATAAAATTGTTGCTTAATAGTATTTGTGAAGAAGTATTATGTGACGTACTCAGCTGCTTGGAACAAAAAACACCAGCTCATAATAAAGAAAATTTCCAATTTTTATTATTTCAATTTGCAGAATTTTGGATTTTCATGTTTAATGCTAAGGGTTCCACACAAAACCTTCACTCTCATTCATATTTTCAAAGATCATTAAAAATGGTAATTCTTCTGGCGATGGATATCAAAAACAGATCAGTTAAAATTGGGTTTCTTCAAAGAATATTTGAACATTTCGTTAATAATTATGGAATTCTCAAAGATTTTATTAATTCTGCTATAGAAATTCTCCCGGAGGATAATCATAACCTTATGATTACAGATGAATTTCTAGAAGAGATGCATAATCAATGTTATATTTACAATTCATCTTTTACGTTTCTTATTCAATTCTATGAAAGATTCTGTTCTACCAAAGCAAAACAATATCTTGACGACTTACAGGAAAGATTAATCACTACCACGCTTGCAAATTCTTATGAAGAAGATCACTGGACTATTCATTCTGAAATACTTGGAGTTATGAAAGATGCTTATCAATTGGTTGACTCCCAAATTTTTCAAAATATTTTTCAAGATGAAAGCAGATCCATTGAAGGCGAAGGATTAGCAGATGAAATTAAAAATAAATATGGAATAACAATCACAGATCAAGTGAACTGGGAAGCCTTTGAATATAATATAGATGAAGAGATCTTGAAAGTCATTGATAATGATGATTTGGATGATGAAGAGAGCTTGGAAGCTATTGATAATGATGATAAAGAAAATCTCAATCTCCGTATCATAAAAATTAAAAAGTCCATTGAATGCTATAAGAATATCTGCCAAGAATATATTAATCATTGGAAGGAAATTAAATGCATTTCTGCAATCGAAATCTGGAAAAATGTTGGTGCAGAAAATGTTGAAAAAGAAATACATTTTATGGCACCGTACTGTAGAAATAAACAAAATAATAGACAAAGACAATTCTTTTTCTTTATTGAAAATACCATTGATAATAGCACCAAAAGTGAGAATATGGAAGAATTAGTTAGTGCGGTGAAACATTTGATTAATATCCCATCAACGTTGGAAAAATTGAAACAACTTATAACTGTATTTGAAATTTTAAAAATTACGCATAATAAAAATTTCTGGACAAAGAAAATAAATGAATTTAAAAATGAAAATTTATCACTTGGTCAGTTATCCAAAAGCTTTCCCCAATTGAGACGAGATGAAGAAAATTATCTTTTAACAAAAAGTTGGTCACTAATTAAAGAAATTGCATCTGCCAAAGATCTCATTATCTTTCTTAGATCACTCATCGGTCATGATGTTAAAAACTTAATAAATGGTGTTGATGATCATTCAGATGAACGTTTAATTCAAGAAGATACTGTCCGAACATTTATTCAAGTAAAGCAAATTATGGAATCTTTATTGATGAGGAAAAAAAATTTTGAAGAACGTGAATTTTTGCAAAAGTTACATGATACCTTAGAAGTGAATCCATCTCTGGTTGATAATTTGCGACTATGCCATGCAAATACTCAAGCACTGAAGCATATGTACGAAAATATTTCAAATCGTGGAGAAGTGACAAAAGAAAGAATTTTCTTTGCGGTGACAAAAGGGAAATACTTATTTAAGAGAATGGAAAATGACGATAATGAGGGTGAATATACAGCAACACTATCATATCCTAGCAAAATTTCACAGGATGGAATTGCTAGATATAGCTTTTCCGACCTTCAAGAATTACATGGTCGTGCCTTATTAATTGCGAAGGCTCCTGCTAATACAACGGATTTAAATGATAACCCCAACGATATTACATCAGTCCACATGAACGATTTTGTAATTCATGTTGATCTTGCACAGGAAATAGTTAACACAGCTTTATCGTTGAAAGAACTTGGTCATTTTAAATATCGCGATTTTCGGGAAACTGTAAGTTCTGATACACTCAAAATGAAAGAATTACTGCAGCGTTTAATTGGAGATTTACAAGAATGGAAAAAAATTGTCAATGAAGCGCAACAAAAACATTATTATTTGACATTCTTCCTACCACAACATATTTTATATTTTTATGATTATTTTTCGTGCAATGGAGAAACTACGCGATCTGATATAAAAGAAAAGTGTTCGATGCTTTTAAAATTTGTTAATGATAAAGCTGAGTTGCCGTCTGTAGAATCTGATGCCCTTAATATTCCGCTTATTCCTGAAAATTATTTGGTCATTCTCTGCAATATTGGTATCCAATTATATGATATTTTCAGCGAAATACTTATAACACAACGTCAAATAAAAGCTCATGTTGACCCGAATATAACAGATATGGTCAACCAGGGACAGCTTTTCATTGGAACATGCAATGATAAATTTTTGGTACCTAATATTATTATGTCTTTATACTATTTGCATAAGAAATGTTATCCAGAAGCATGGCAGCTTCTAATTTGCAA